GAGACTACTAGTAGCAGAGGCCATAGAGACTCGAGAAAACACCCTCTAACTAGTCTAGTAGAAGGAAGGAAACACCAACCCACCCACGAAAACTTTGACCCAAAATTTACCCTGCCCACAAGATGTGCAGCAATAAAGATAGAGCAGATAGAGCAGAGATTGAGGGAGTACCCAACCAATTCCTGACCCAACCAAAGACCCACCCTACAGGAGAGTGCCAACCACTGACACTATGAATGATACTCTGCTAAGCTTGCAGACAGGAGCCTGTCAGAGTTGTCCTCTGAGGGAGTCTATCCAGCAGCACCTTAAAACAGATGCTGAGATTCACAGTCAAACATTGGTAGATTAGTAAAGTCTTATGGAAAAGTGAGGGGAAAGAGAAAAGGACCAGGAGGTGACAGAATACCAACAGAGCAAACTAACCAGAGCTCAGAGTGGCTTGCTGACACTGAAACATCAACCAAGGATCATGCATGAACTGGACCTAGGCCCCCTACAAAGATGTAGCAGATGGGCAGCTTAGGTTTCATGAGGCTCCTCTAGTAAGGAAAGTGGGGACTTCCTCTGACAGGGACTCACTTGCCAGCTTTTTGATAATTTCCCCCTGGCAGAACTGCCTTGCCAGGCACAGGAAGGAGGACATGCTCATTCCTGATGCAACTTGATACACTGGGGTGGACAGATGAGGGAGCTCCCATTTTCTGAGGAATTAAAAAAAAAATTCTGTTTAGATTCTTTTGACAAAAACAGAATAAAGACAAAATTCCTGCTCTGACCAGCACAAAATTTGGCCTGTTATGTACACTGTCTTTCATTCTGTGTGCTGTGTGTTTTAAAAGTTAAGTCAGAAGGAAGCCCTTACTGATTAACCGGGATATAAGAACAATAAAAAGGAATATTTAATATAGAGCAAGAGAGAAGTCGTAGAGACATAATAATCTGTCTTTAAACAATGAAGAGCTGGAGCTGTCATGAAACTCCACGTGAACTTGCCAGTATGGTTATACAAGACAAAATTAAAACTTGTGTCTCCACAAAGAAGGCTGTTGTAATCGTTTGCACCAATTCAAACCGAAGAAGGACTGCTTTGGGAGACCACTGATTACCTAACAACTTGTTGGGAGTATCACTCACAAAGGTTTGTTAACTATTATCAGTGATTTTTCAAACTCTAATTACGTTTCAATTCTCAAGAGCTGGATGAAAAGACAGCAGTTTCTGGGTTTAGAGTAAAGGCCTGAATGTCTAATCAGCTCCCAAATGATACTTGTAATATGTAGACCACATTTTGAGAAGCAAAGAACCTGTTCACTGACTTTCAGAGATAATAGTCAGTAATTCTCTGGGAGGAGCAGAGGAAACAGAGAGGTAAGAGTTTTACATGCACACAGTGGTACTTGAAAACACAGGTGTTGGGAGCATTTCCTGAAAGCAAGAGATATGCTACAAGTCCATTGTCCTAAAGAAAAAGTTCTCACTACATGTTTGTATCTAAAACAGATGGAATGATCCATTTTCATTAGAAAAGGCCAATTATTTTCAACAATTGGACTTAATAGTACTTAATAGTTCTATTTTAATAATTCTATATTAAATTCAAGAATTTAAGTATTGGTCTAATTTATTCAACAAAAGTTCTTCAGAATTATTCATTTATCCCCACCCCTTTTGTGCACAAACTTTGCTTTGTTATACCACGATTTATATATACCAATATTTTCCAACTGGCTGAGTCATCAGTATTCCTCAAGATCCTTTGTCTTCTAATCCCTGGGGAAGGCCAGGGAAGTGTCTTGAAGCTGAACTCCTGTAACTAGACCAAGCAGAACAGAATTTTACCACACCAATATTTATTTTAACAACCTCCTCCAAGCATCTAATAAGTCATTAACTTTCTGTCATGTAACAATAAGCCCAGCAGGTGCAGCACCACTTGCTGTCTCCAGAATCAGTCTTCTCATAGGCTAAATGCTTATGTCTATTTGTGATAAAGGTGATATATGGTAATCTCTCTAAGGGTGGCTATTTTTCAGCTTATACTTCCAATATTATTTTATACTACTCTGTATACAACATTAAGTGGATTTTAAATCTATAAAATTTCTCACATGGAATTATGACACTTAATTTGACAAAGAAACATTATATTATTTTAAATCAAATAACCGAAGGCTCCAATTTTTGTCTGGTTGTTAGAGTACATCAGTCATTTCTTTCTCTACTTTCATTGTGTGGCAGCATCAGAAGTTTGGAAATTTGTTATTAAAGCATGACATAATGGTAACATGGTTTTATACAGTGTTTGAATTATTCACTTTTCTATACACACTAATAAGATCAAAATGTCATTAAAGTGTTTTGATGAGAAATGGCAAATTAACTTCAAACATAAAACCCAAGATAAGTTGTTTTGATGGGATTGTACTCATTTATTGATTTAAAGTTATTTACATTTAATTTTAATGTTGTTAAAACTGTGTATTTTACATTCTTTATTATAACTGTATCATGTAAAAATTATCTTCCATAAGCTTTATACAACAAGTACCCAAATTTACTCCATTCTATCCCAATGTGCCACATAAGCATTATTTTCTATGCTGAAAAACCCACTAATGAAATGTTACTTCTAGTATATATTCTTTTCCAAAACACCCTCTGCTCTAATTGTGGGCTCAGAATGTAGCTGCTATTACCCACAACAAAATTTTAAGCCTACACAATTCCTGAGAAATGTTAAGCTAAGTTATTTCATTGTCATTCCTTTTTATTTGTAAATAACATCAGGCTTTGTTTCCCAAGCTGAACTGAAGCAACCCACCTCCCTCACGTTCTTAATTCCTTCTAAAACCCTTGGAATAATATTGTATGAGTGCTGTAAATGTTCTTGTTGGCTGTTCATTTTTCAGTAAATTTTTATTGTTTATTTAGTGTATATTATTTCAGAGTAAATACTTAATTTTATAGTAGCATACATTTTTATAAATTTGCTTCCTAAGGCCAAATAGATATGCTGATCTGTAAGGACCTATTCTTTCTTTCATACTAACCTTACTCTTCTTACGTTCCCAAAATCTAATAAGTCATTACTGAATCAGTGGGCGCTGGGAACAGTCATAATGGGCATACCATAATAGAAACACCATTCTCTTCAGTGTCTGAATTATTCCCTTCTCTATAAAAACTTTAGTAAGATCAAAATATTACTAAAGGTCTAGAGAGACAACTGCAGCACAGAAAAAGAACCTGAGCTTAGACCTCAGAAACCGTGTTTAAAAAAAAATGTTTGAAAAGAAAGAAAAAATAAAGCTGAGTTTAACCTCAGCACTATGAAGGGCAGAAACAGGGGTTTGTTGACTGCCAGCCTAGCTCCAGGCTCAGTGAGAGACCTTGTCTCAAAGGAATAAGCAAAAAGTAACGGAGCAGGACAACCTTGTGTTCTGGCCTCTGCGCGCACACACAGACCTGCACAAACACGTGTGCCCACCCCCCCAACACAGGCATACACCTTAGCACTACTGAACCCCAGCCTCCATCACGTCTTGCTCCATCTGCTTATAGTGCAGAACATCTTTCTTTTCTCTGCTTGTCCTAATGCCTTTTTCCCAGTAGCCTCTCTTTTCTTTCTTCAGGCCACCCCTACCCCGCTTAGGATGTTGAAGAATCTATTTCACAAGAAATACACCTCTCACTCTCTCTTCCTTGCAATTTTGCTTTTGGGCAGAGTCCAAAGCAGTCTGGTGAACAAGATGCGCATATAGTAACCATCATGACCCTCATCATGCTCACTCTTAGGCCAGCCTCCTAATTTGTCGTTCAAACGTGGTAAAGACCGAGGTCAAAGAGGAAGCAGCTGAGAGCTGGCCAGGGCAGCAGAGCACAGACCCCTTCTGCTCAGAAGGCAGGGCACTGCCACAGAGGCCCTCGGGCTGCCGCTGTCCACACCTCAGTGCTGAATATTAAAGGCTGGGCTTGCTCTAGCCAGTTCAATCCCTTCGAATCCAGAGATTCCAACAAGGCAGTCCGAATGCTGTCTCTCGGGTGGCCGTGGGGACGCTCTCTCATTCTCTCTCTAAGGGAAATCTGTGTTCCACAAAGATTCATGGTGTATTTGATGTGAAAGTAGTAGCACAGCTTCAGGTCTCCTCCAAAACTGAAATCTCCAGTGAGGGAAAAATAGAAAGTTCCGGGTTAATGAAACTGGCTCCTCCCTTCCCTGAGTCAATTCAAAGCCTTTGGAGCTCTGAACCTCCTTATTGAAAATCTGAAACATTTTGCTATTTTGAAAACTCGTGTTGTTAATCAAGCAATCAAGCAATCTTTCCTTCTTTCTCCTTTTTGACGTAAACACTGCAGGGATGGTGGCGTGGGGCTCCAAATGGTCTGGGGTAGGATTTTAGATATTGCTTTACTGGAGATCAGAAACAAGAGAGAAGGATCTACGAATGGTTTAAAACATGCTGGGAAAACGGTTTAACACTGTCTTGAGGAAGCGCTCATTTTCTTAGGTGGTTTGAAACAATGCAGCAGGTAGCTCCCCTCCTTTGCTCCCATCCTCTACCAGATTTGAAGATCTAAGCACGAGTTCTGTTTTTTGTACATTTGTTTGTTTTACAGAAAATGGTGACACTCAAGAGGCAATATAAGACTTCTGCCCTCACTCCCTACCCCAGGCACATTCATAGGAGACAATAAAGTAACACAGAGAAAATAGATGGAAGGCGCGGGTGGGGGTTGTGTTGCGCTTCCTGCCTTGGAATCTTGGTAGTTATATTCGAATGGGGAGCTTCGCACTGAAGAATAGAGATGTGTCTCACAGCTACAGTATTTGTGGGCAGACAGCAGAACTGACTGATCCTACCAGAGTCCTTTCCTTTTCTTAATCCTTCCCTGCCTATTTTAGTCGCTTCTCCACCCCGCCGGGAATACCATCCAGTTCTCAGTCCAGGTAGATCTGACGTCAAGAGATGGCTTTCGTCGATTTGACGTGTAAACACTCATTTCTATTCTGGCTGGGAAGGCTGGGGCTCCGCTCAGCCAGGAGACTGAAGCGCTTCACTGAGCGCTCGCCGCGCCCAGCCTCTCCCAGCGTGCCTCCCAGCTCTAGTAGAGCAACCCAGAGCCAAGAGCGGTTCAAAGCGGCTGGGTGGAAAGGTCGAGTCTATCCGGTGTTTCTCCGCTCTCGCTTCTTTTTCTCTCAGCCCTTCCTACTTGTGTGAGAGCAAGGGTGTGAGCCATGGAGCAGAAAGGCTGGACTCTGCGGTGTACTGCTTTCGCCCTCTTTTGCGCTTGGTGTGCACTGAACAGCGTAAAAGCCAAGAGGCAGTTTGTCAATGAATGGGCGGCGGAGATCCCCGGAGGACCAGAGGCTGCCTCTGCCATCGCTGAGGAGCTGGGCTATGACCTCTTGGGTCAGGTAAGAGTTTCCACTTTCTAGAAACTTTCTAGGGCTTGAGGACACTGGTGGGGCTGCAGTGAGAGCCGCAGATTGCACTCCCCTGCGCTCAGTGTAGCAAGCAGCTAGAAGCATTCCCCTCACCCCGCCGCGAGCGCGCGCTTTTAAAGGGAAAAATGTTTGCATTATTTATTGTTTGGGCTGAGCTCTGCCAAACCGGAGGAAGCTGCCACAGCTCAGCCGACCCTGTTCTCTCCGTTGTCGGCTTGATATCCGCTCCCTCGAGGTTTGGAAAATAAAATAAAAACCCTCCACGTTTGTCCGGGGAACTTGAGGTGCACACAGGCTCTCGCCTTCCTTGGGAGAGGCAGTGCGCCTGATGCCCCGGGGGCGCAAGCGGCCTGTGTCCAGAGCCGGCGCTTTCCTTCTTTTCAATATGGCAGCAAGAGCTCCCAGTCCTGAAGTCAGGGGCCAGGGAGGCTTGGAGATGTCCGCGCGTAGGGGCGCGCCCAGAGCTCGCAGCGGCTGGGACTACTAGAGGTTGGGGGGTGGTGGTGGTGATTTTAGAGTGGTACGGGAAAGACGCTGCTACATAAACCGTCGCCTATGGAGGAGTTCAGGGGCTTTGCCCCTAACTTAGGAAGTCCCGGAGCTTCCCAACTTTGCACTGCCAGTGTTTCAGCAGGGTCTACCTGCAGAGACGTAACTGTGGGGAAAGGGCCTCTTTCTGTCTTGTTCCTCGGTCGATGCATAATCATTTTCAGCGGGGTTTGGATTATGAGATAAACTGATGCCTGGACAAGTGTAGGCTGAATTAGCAGACAGTTGGGGGGGGGGGGGCAGGGCGCAGAAGCATTAAGTGGGAGCCTGGTTGGCAGCGCGATTCCCAAAGGGGAATCCAGAGGATGTGATTTCTAATCTGAACATTTCTTTTCCTTGAAATAGAGTCTAACTCTCTACCCTTGCCAAGCAAATTGTCCACAGTTAAGCGGGGGAGGGAAGAGTAAGGAGTTGTAAAACATTTTGGCGCGTTTTCTATTCTGGAGGTGGTGACTGAGACTCTGAAGTCACAGATGAGTAATCAGCGTGGGCGGTGTCAATTCCATACATCAACTCCACTAGGAAATGCGCCTTCTCTAGCCAGAGGCTTCATTCTCTAACTTTGAGAGCCAAATGGTCTTTGAAAGGCCTAGGATGAAACTCAATAAAATTCCCAGAGCCTTTTTTGAACCGTTCAAGGCAGTGCTTTAGGGACTGAAGACTAAAAGGAAGAAAAGACATGCTCTCAATGAATTCAGATCTAGAGGACTGTGAATTAAAAATAAATAAAGACACCTGAATGCAATTTGTGGGAGAGAAATTGTTGTTGGAGGTTTAATACAGCATTTTTTCGATAGCAAAAGGAAAATGGTAGAAGGAAATTTGGGAGACATGAAAGAAAGCTGCTGAAAATACTACTACACAGGGGTTGAGAAGTCAGAGGCTGCCAGAAGAGCATGGCCTGGAGAAGGCAGGTGTTCCAGGCATAGAAAACAGCTTACAGGCAAAGCAGACACAAAGCAGCTTCATAATAACTTTGGTCATTGTGTGCAACTCTTGAGCATTTGGGGACCAAAAGAGAGAGGAGCAGATGGAAATATCCTGTTGGGGACTAGAAGCAGCATGGGAATTTGATTGGGATGGGGAAGGTGGTATTTAGTCAGTGGTGTTGTGTTTGTGATTAAGAAAGGAAAGAAAACCGTAAAACTTTCTCCCACCCCCACATTGGCCCCAGACACACATCCAAATCTAGACCACTCTGCATGAAAATTCCTTTTCAAAATAAACTAACTTCCCTTTAGTCATTTTTGGGTAAAATATCATATTCAACAACAAAATTTGAGAAAACAATTTGTAAAAGACTAATGGTGCTTTCCTAGCTCTGCTTACTTCCCATTTTGTTTGGCATTTCTGAGACCATACTAAGTAATGACAAATATCCTAACATCAGAGCCTCATGATAAAGCTAGGAAGAGGGTAGAGACAAGGAGCAAAGCTAGCTGCCAGTAGAAACAGAGCCCAGCAACCCTAACCTTTTCTTAAGGCGTTTGACATCTCTTTCAGGTTTTGTCCACAGCTTGCAGTAGATTCACTGCCTAAGGCTCTGTTTTGGAGATAAGCCTTAGCATTTCTACTAAAATCAATTCTCTGGATGGTGAGAACTACTACCTTATAAAACATCCTTCTTTTGAAACAACACAATTGTTTATGTCGTAATTTTAAAAAATCAAACATCTAAAGGACTTAGTCAATTCACATTTTGTACTGCTTATGTAAGAAGACTTTAGCTCAAAGAATATTAAACATAGATCTAAATGAACCAGAGGGTGTTGATAACCACCAAAAAAGTGCACCTATCCTGAGGAGGGGCAGCTGTCTTAAATAAAGCACTCTTCCTGAAAGCACTGAACTAATGAAAAACCGAATCAGCAATAATGGCTGGTGATCATCACAACTGACTCAAACACTTTAGACTTGTAATATCTGGTTTTAACTGAATGTGGCAGTAATCACTAATAAATCCAAAGGGATTTTTTTTTCCATTCCACAAATAATAGTTGTCTGACAAGATATGTTTGTTTAAGTTGGAATGTTTTAAGAAATATCTTATGCAGGAGAATACCAAGGTACTTCCTCTAAAACATATGAAACACACGCATGCCCATTCTTACATGTGAAGCCAAGGATATATATGTACCAAGGCTAATCTAAAAACTTCTGTGTCTCCCTCACAAGGAAGTTAACTTCAGTGAGCTTAATGAGAGCTCCTTTTGTCAGCAAAAGACAACGAAGTGCGTCAGTTGATTTTTGGACTAGTCTGTATATATATTCTGAAGAAAGTACATTGTTATTTTTGATTTTTTTATAGATTGGATCACTTGAAAATCACTACTTATTCAAACACAAAAATCATCCTCGAAGGTCCCGAAGAAGTGCTCTTCATATCACTAAGAGGTTATCTGACGATGATCGTGTAAGTGTGCATTTGTTCTCCAACTCATGGGCCTAACCAATGGCTTTTTCTACTACTCCCAACAGAAGCGTTTGATCCTTTTGTATTGTAATCGTCATCGCTTATCTATATTGCTTATTATTTCTTTCTGTGGAATTATAATTGCTCATAATACGTTTAGATTGGATTAAGCTAAAAATGTTAATTTTATACATATCCTTGGTTATATATGGTATATGTTTACATATTTGAAGTCAAGTTTTGTGTGCTGAAAATCAGGGGTTAGCATTAGTGAAATAATTGACTCCATAGTCATTCGAGAGCCTTTTATATGTTATGTGGTAAATATGAAATATTTCTTCTTGAAATTCTTGAACTCAGGAAATGTAAAGATCACTTTAATATGAACCCAATGATGCCTAAGAAGTGATTAGCCCTGGTTTTCAATAACATGTCAGTATAACTGAAAAGATTTTTACCATTTTCACTGATAAAAGTATTAGTGCTTATGAGAAACTTATAATACATTTCATTTTGAAGTGTTTTCAAACATGTTATGTTGTTTTGACTTAAACTGCATCAGTATCAGCTCTTTTCACTTGTCTGTATACGAAGTCATAATTATTTGGCAACACCAAGAAATGTCTACAGTCAATATAGATGAATAGGGTAAAGACAATTTGAATACATGTTTTATATGCCTATTGATTTGGGTGTCTATTTTCAAGGTCAGCAGTTATGCTAATCTGAAAGATTAATGCATACATTAGGAGTACGCCATGTTAGGAAACACTGTATGCAGAATGCTGTCTTCTCTCTGACTGTGGCACTCCTGGAGAAATGCATGCTGATTGACCCCGTGTCTGTGTGCATGACTAATGTTTCTTAAGACACCCTGAGAATTACAGTGAAAAATTTAAATTCTTGACTCAACTTAGGAAATGAGGAGAAGAAAATGACAGAAAGGTGATGCTGCCATAACATTTGAAAATATTTGAAATATCGAAATCCTATGAATTACTTTGTGGCTCAGCCTGCTCCTAAATTTATTTATTTATTTTTTTAAGTAAGAAAGCAAATTAGGAGGAGAAACATTTTTGGGCCTTGAGCTGCAGGTTTCAAAAGGAGCATAACCTACCATATTGATGCTAATTTAACAGGACCAAGGATGACAATCCTACAATCATGTGGGCCCATCATTAGCTCTTTATGTCAACTTTTGGCTAGATGTGGTAGATCAAATTGGAAGCCAGAAAACTTTTTTTTTTTTTTTTTTTTTTTTTTTGTCTAGTGAGAAGATTTTATGTCCTCTACCAAAGTAAATGGCTCCTTGTAAGTGGGCTCTAAGAGTCAGGCCAGCTTCCACTACCCTGACTAGGCTAATCCTTGGACAAGGCAGGAAAATCCTTCTCTGCATAAATACACGCCCAACATTAATGTATGGGAAAGTCAAACTGAAATCATGGTAGAAGCTGGACAGGGTAGCGTGTACCAGCTATTCTCACCCAAAGTTTCTCATGCAAATGAACAGATGGTTTCATTTTCCTCTTTAGCTATCTCAATAAATTTTGGAGAAATCCCAAGATATAACAAAAGGCTAGTAATTGCTCATTAATAAAAGTTTATTACATGGGATTTTATACAATCTTATAAAAAATTAACCTCAGGTTAATTTTACTTTAGGAAATACCTCAGAAGCCTAGAAGCTTGCAGTGGACAAGATGCTATTTAGTACTTTTCTCAGACCAAAGCTATTATTTACAATAAAGCACACGGTACCTATTATGCACATAATCAGAAGGCACTGACAATTTTCTCCATTCCATTTAGTCTGCTCTTCTGGAGATTAATATGCAATTCTAGTTAATGATATTAATCATAGCATGGTTTGCTACAATTGGATGTTTATCTGATCAAATGGCAGAGTGCCACTTCTAATATGCTATTTTTAAAAATTGCTCTTGATTTTCACTTTGCTGCTCTTTCATAATTGGGAAAAATAGTCTTTATAATAAACCCCAAGAAATGCATCAAAAAATCTATCTTCAGAGACTGATGAAATTTCCAAATTTAAGTGGTGCCTCCCACAAAGATTTGTATGTGTCTTTTAGCAGCCAGCTTCCAAAAACCAAGAGAGACAACAGGCAATGTATTTCTGTGGTATTTTAAACCAAAATGATGGCGTTTGAAAATACAGATGCTTAGACAGTGAAGCTACTCCTGATGAGACCTGATAGACTAGGATCAGAAGGAAGGAGAGGAAGACTTCTCCTATCATTGGACTTGGGGAGGGGCATGTGTGGAAAAATGGGAGGGAGGGTGGAATAGGGAGGGGAGGATGGAGGGGACCACAGGGGGATACAAAGTGAATACAGTGTAATTAATAAAAATTTAAAAAATAAAATACAGACACTTTATACTAAATAATAGTGACTAATTGGTGGCTTTCCAGTCCTTCCTAGTATTTATAATAGGTTTGCAATATACTTTCTAATTGAAAACTCAAGGATGTCTTCGGCCTTCAACTGGAAATTATTTTTCAGTTTTTACTTTTGGATTTGACTCATGGAGACTCTCATATTAAACATATCCCACTGTAGTATGATTTGTTTTGTGTGTGTGGCCCTTTAAAGGATCCCTATTTGCTAAACAATTGGTCCATTGGGAATGCTTAGCCTTAGAACTGCTTGCCCATAGGATCTCCAGTGTCAGTTGCCTCTTGGACTTCTGGGAACAGGAGAGGATGTAAAAAGCCAGCAGAGGCTGAGAGAGATTGAGTAGGAATAGAGAAGGCCGTTGGTGCTGGAAGAAAGAAGATTGAAAAGGGTTAAGAAAAAGAAGGCACTCGATGCAAAAAA